CGAAACTACTCATCAGATTTTTACAAAATTTATATGCAATAACCTAAATGTAAGTCTGAAAGAAAACCTGAAAGAAATTGGTGCATAAATTGACGGCGCGAGCAAAAACGAAAAGAAAAATATACTACACCACATCCTCTTTGAAGTTGACTAAAATAAAACTATAACAAAATTTAGACCCTTGCAAACTAGTAATGTTGAGATATCCTTACTGACTTTATGACTTGGTGACCCCACTCGCGTGAACTCCTTATCTTTAGAAATTTAAATTCCAGCCTGAACCTCAAAATAGTTCAAATTAAATGGAGCTTGTAAATTAAGTGTTGCTATCACGTAATCCCAAGGAAATAGCTATAAGTGGTTTCTACGCGATGTATTATCTGGCGTGTTTTAATTATACTTAGGATAAATTAGTTTCAGCAGCACTCAGAGACGATTATTTACCTTTGAGTTTGTTAAGAATTGAAGCAATGACTATCTTGCGCAATATAAAAGTTTGATCTATTTAGAAAACATATAACTAATCGCCTTGTACGAAACCTGCAAGATTTAAAAAGATTGCAGAACATTTCAATATACCGTGTAACTAACATTGTATATTCAATTCTGTAAATCACGAAATAATAAATTGATTCATCACCATGTGAAGGCATCTCAACTATTCCCGGCATTTTTCCATTTGAAGATCACATTTTCGAATCCATACATTAAAAATATCAAGTGTGTTGATTGTGTTTATATTGACTGTCTTTTAAATTGCGTTTAGGTGTGTATTTTATAAGAAAGTTTATTTAGTAAATATGAGCCGTATATCATTTCGCGAAACAAAAATAGATATGACGAGAAAGCCAAGAGGGGGAGGCGGCGGCGGGCAGCGATCGCTCTCAGGGGTAAACAGCCGGCGATTGAATGTGAAAATTTAATTCGGGTCATTTTCATCGCCCGGGCCAACGGAACCCATTATTTTCCCCCAAAGAAAGTCATTATTCAACAAATATTTTTTTTAAATACAAACCCTTGGAGAATCTTAGTTGCGGCTTACTGGAAAAGCCGCGACAATTTCGCTGGACATTTTTATGCTTTAGATGATGTTTTACTTTACGTTATTAAGCAGGAGGGGTCACAGTTTTGAAGTCTTGAGTGATGAGTTCCTATTTTCTCTATTGTGCCGTAAACATTTTCAGTTCGAGAACTAGCGTACCTTTCCATTTACGAGTGCGGAAATGTAGCCAGGTTCAACGTCGAAGCACAAAAGACTTTGAAAAATGCAAATTTTGTCGGAGCACGGGGAGGTGACGGGTGCCTGACTCCGCCCTGCCGCTGCTGCCGCTTCCGCCGCCCGCTACCGCCGACTGCCATTTAAATGCAACCTAACTTGTCAAAGTTTGGCGTTTGCGAATGAATGCTAGGTCACAGCTCGATTTATTCTAGGATTTGTTAACCACATCTTGCATGAGTTCATGACTAGGTAGATGTTTTCTCAATTTTTGGATAGCAAAAATATTTAACCTAATTCTCCACTGACCGTTTGTTTGTCAGCGTGCTTTATTACCCGTAGCGTAATAGGTTCCTGGGGTAATAGTTATAGGGTAGATCTAGGATGAAGAATCTCGCTAATATGGAATTAACAGATTCGCTAGCCAAAAAAGGATTACAAAAAAGGGAATTGATAAATCGATTTAATTACTCAGCAAATTTTGCAAATAAAAGTTCTTAACAAGTGTACCACTTTTCGGATTTTATTGGTGCTCTTCAACAATCTCTTATCTATAGACCATAGACTACATATATTTGATGAACAAGTACTCATTGTTATCGATAAATTGAAGTGTGTATTCAATAAACAACAAGATGCTTAGATATTCATATACCTCCCAAATATGCCTCTAATAACTCAACCGGCGACGGCAGCGTAGTATCTCTCTTCGATTAAATTAGTCGATTAAATTTTCATATTCAATCTTCAGTTGTTTACTAAAGGGAGGTATCTCGGCCGTGGACTGTGCGGGCAATGCGGAATTTAACACTTAATATCCGAGTACTATGGTCTAAAGTCCACAAAGTTATATTGAATCAGAAGTAAAATATTTATGCCATCTATGATAAGAAAAAAACGTCTAACATATCTAAATATTGGTTCTATAATATTTAATTGGAACAACAAATCTTATTTTTTTCCTACAATAATTTTATTTCATTAAAATGTATTATAGGAAAATAAGAGAAAGGACGGGGTAAAATTAAGGAAATTCAATTATGTCGGTCAATTAGATTATCAAAAAATAATGAACACTTATTTTTTCTCTTGTGAGTCAACCAAAAAAATAGAAATACACTCGAGAGCAATGAATCCGGGTCACTTAAAGAATCATAAAAATCTCGCAAACTAAGACAGCTAGCTTAAAAAAATAAATTCAAATTAATAGACAATTAAATACTTCTTAAATGAATATATTAAAACTTCTTAGTTATTGTAAAGTTACATCATAAAAAATCAAAATTTAAAAAAGGGAGACCGTTGAAGATGGAACTACGAAATTACTGCATTTGTTATTGAATCTGTTATTTATTATTCACATAATCCATGTCGATAATATTCAATATTAATTATTGAAGCTGTAATCATGTCGCTTACACCTGAAGATTGTACCAGAATTCTCACAATGCTGAAAACCGGCCGGAGTCAGCGCGATAGAGCCAGGACTATAGGTGTGTCGCTGTCAACAGTACGAAGAGTTCTACGACGTTAAGGGGAAACTGGCTCTAACCTACGCAGACCAGGAACAGACAGAACCAGGTGTACCACAGCACGAGAAGATCGATTGATGAACACCATGCTTCGAAATCCCTTTCTTACAGGAACTGAAAATACAAATCAGTTTCGACCCCTAGGAGTAAGTAACCCAAGCGCATGGACAGTAAGACAAAGACTTGCTGAAGCTACCTTGAAACCACTTAGACCTGCTAACGGCCCTAAACTGGAGCGTAGACATCGTATTTCAACACTAAGGTATGCCCAGAACCAGTTACATTGGACTATTGATGATTGATCAAATTTTATGTTCTCCTACGAATCAAAATTTATGCTCTACAAGCACGATGGAAGACACAGAGTATATAGAACACCTGGGAAAAGATTCAAGCAAGCATGCATCGACGAAAAAGTAGCCTACGGTTGTGGGTCTGTTCTTGAATGAGCCGGAATTTCTTCTGAGAGTCGCACAACTAGTGTTCATAGAAAACGGCTCTTTAACTTGCGAAAGATATGTGGAAGAAATTTTGAATGAACACGTTGGTCCATTTATGGTAAATTTGGGTGAGGATGCTAATTTATGCATGACAATGCCCGACCTCATACAGGTTCGATTGTGAATGAGTACCTTCAAGAGATGAACATTATTCATATGGAGTGGCCAGCATGCAGCCCGGATATCAACCCGATCGAGCATGCTTAGGACGAGCTAGGGAAATGCGTAAAACAACGAAACCCTCCCCTAATTACGCTTCAGGAGCTCAAAATTGCTCTCACAGAGGATTGGGAGAATATTCCCCAAAATCGTATAAGAAACTTGGTGTATAGCATGCCACACCGGGTAAACGCAATTATAGGTAAATTCAAGGAAATCATACTGTTGTTCAAAAATGTCATGTTTCCTATTTTTGTTTTACGGCGAAATCAGCCAATTTTATTCTTAATGTATTTTTTTGAAAATAAAAAGTGGTGACTCGAAAATTTTATTACTTTCCTTCAAGAAGTATATAATTATCTATTAAACACAATTTATTTCATTAAGCTAGCATTCTTAGTTTGCGAGATTTTTAGGATTCGTTATGTGACCCGGATTCATTGCTCTCGAATGTATAAAGCGCGTCAAAGTTTGGAAGTGTGGCTCGTGACGTCACTTCTAAGTAAAAATTGTACTAAGACATACCGTCATGCAACATTTCAAATCAAAATATCCCTGCAATGTTTTTAATGTGAATAAAGAAAAATTGCGTGTCCCTTTTTTCTTCGTGTATCAGGTAGATTATGAAAAAGTCATAATCTACCTGATACACGAAGAAAAAAGGCAGTCTTCACCCCTATTACTAGGTAATTTAATTTTAAATTTAACTGAACTTTGGTCGAAAATTTGTTACTCCATGAGAATTAAAATTCAGCCGTTATTACAAACCTATATACTGATTCAAAATAAGGACACAATACACAAGCGACGCACAGCGCTGCAAAGCGGCCACGAGAGCCGGCGCGCGACAACTCGCTCCTTGGCCACATGAGTAAAGAAACGTACAGTCCGTACCTTGGCTCTAGGCCGCACTCAAAATCACCGCGCGCCGCTCTGTGGTTCTTGGCCGGGCTCGATGTCGCTGCGCTAAGCGCAGCGCGCTGTTTGATATAAACGCCGTAGGCCGCGTACAGCGCCACGCCGTACGCCGCGTCACGATGCTTATTATATAAATGTACTGACGTCAGCGTGTGGACGCCGTAGGTAGTCGTGACGAGGCGAAATCTTTTACTTCATAGTTGGACAGCACTCTCAGTTCATTCATGAGGACCCCGACTATCAGCCTCAACGAGAATCAAGAGCTCTGACTCAAGACATCTGTAATACGAAACAAAAATTACACGTAATCTGATCTAATTATTGCTTAGAATTCAATAGAAACTGAATGAGGTAATTGAATGAGGAAGCATCGTTTGGTGTATCAAACCAGTTTTATTAACCAGGCGTCTATAAAGCAGTGGCATATCTAATGACCTTACGAAGCCCAACAGTTGGTCTTCATTTGCTCATATTTATTGCCTGACAGCTCCCGCGCCGCACCTGGATAAATAAATACCTGCCTGCAAATTGTATTTCATAAACGCCACTGTTACAGAGACCGTAATAAATTGACGAAGGATCTTGAAACAATTCGCCTTAATGCTACCTCCGAATGAAGTTTCATTGTTTGTGTAATATCCGCAAATCGACTGGCTGGTACAATGTTACAAGGAAATGGAGGCAAATTTGGGCGCTGCTCTTTTTCTGGTAATCATTTGTCATTAGTCCGGCCAGATAAAATATTTGCATTGGTTTTTGAGGTTTTCGCCGCATGTGATATTTAATTATTGCAATAAAATTAAGTGGATAATAATGGATTTAGGTATATAAATAAATCGTGCGAGCAATAGACAGAGCGATGCTCGGTATTTCCCTACGCAATACAATTAGAAATGAGGAAATCCGTAGGAGTACTGAAGTAACCGATGTCACTCGAAGGATTGCTCTGCTCAAGTGGCAATGGGTGAGACACGTACCAAGGAGAACCGGTGGCCGTTGGGGTGGAAAGGTTCCCTAAGAGGTGGACCGACGATCTTGTAAAGGTCGCGGGAGCCGATGGCCTGGCGAAGTAGAAGTGGCCGATTGGTGTGTAGATCCTTGGGGGAGTCCTAAGCTCAGCAGTAGGCGTTTTATGGATGATATATAATATCATGAGAACAATCATCAATCTGAAATGAAAGTTTGTTTGTTTGTATTGAATAGGCTCCGAAACTACTGAACCGATTTGATGAATACTTTCACATTTAGAATCTACCATTATCGAGCAAAGTGATATACTAAAGTTTTATAGAGGATATCAATATATACAAAAAGTTTGCAATACCATATGTCTAACTATTACAGTTATGTCACAACTAGAGATCTCCTGCGGTTTCATTTGCGGTAATTTGAGGAAAAAAGTTTTAGTGAGCCAAACTCAAAAGATGGACATAATGCTGTCGCTGACTTTTTGTAGAAATTTTTGGGGGGAACAATTCTGATATACATGATTTTTGTGTAACTTGAACCGTTTACCCCGCGCAAGCAACGAAAGCTCACAATTGGAATATTTTTGCAACATTTTTCATTGATGCTCTGCTCCTCCTGGTCCCAGCGTGATGTTATATATCCTATAGCCTTCCTTTATAAAGGAACTATCCGACACAAACATATTTTTTTATCGCACAAGTCTTTTCTGAGATTAGCGCGTTCAACCAAAAAAAAGAAACAATATGGCCGAATTAGGCATATGAAACGCGACGCCACCCTATGCCACGCCACGATTCATTTAATAATAAGGGCATGGACCAATGGTAAGGCCGACACACTTTTTTTAACAGCAGAGCAATGATGCATTCTGTACAACGGATCCTAAACTACCCAACAAAATTTCACAATCAGTTAAATAAATTTTCACGTGAGGTTTATAATTATATGAAAAAAGTTATTTTGTATAATACAAACCTGAGAACAAAAACTATAGTCTACACTACAGCTCTTTACCGAAGCGAAGCTAGGGCGGACCACTAGTATAGTGAAAACATAATAAATAATCTCAATAATACAAATAAATAATTAATCCGATATAAAGCGATGGACCCAGTTTTCTTTTAGAACGGATTTTTCTTAAACTTCACGTTAATTATAAAACAACATAATCTCAGATTATTTGCTTCCATAGAGTGCAAAATTGTTACAAAATTTTCCAGCAACAAATCCATACACCGTGTGCGTTGAGTCAGACATTTTTTTCATGATTCGGGGACAAAGTCCTTCGTCTGCGATGGTCATTATGGGCGCCAGTTTGCATTGCCTTTGCTTTGATATTTTTAAACAAAGTTCAAATTCAGAATTTTACAATTGTTAATTAAAATAAGTACCAACTTACACATCGCTAGACAAGAGTTAATTTACCCAGAAGTAAAATTAATTGCCACACAGTTGTTGATATGTACCTTATTTAAGGCTATATAACCTTTTAATGTCACCAAGGCATCTAATGCGTAGGCAAGAGCATCTTTTATGGCTAAAGGGAACCCGGCAATAAAGAAAGTCACAAGCGCTGCCAAAGGGCGGGCCTCTGTTACGTTAATAATAAAATTATATGCGGTTAAGGGGCTTTTAGCGCTGTCCATATTCTGTGTTTACTTTATGCCATTTCGCGTAAAGTGCCTTTCTGAGGTTGTAATACTAATTAAGTTTGAAAATAGTTGAGTAAACTGAAACAAGGTGTTTTGTTTCATATAGCCGTTGGCTACACACCAGTTACCAGTATGTAGCAACTTAAGTTTCATTACCTAATGTACATTTAAACCGCACAATATTGTTTCAGTTGTGAATTACGGACTGAATTGTTGATAAATATTATGCTCAAATTTAGGGGGGTTTGTGCTCAGTGAATAATTTCGGAGTAAAGTAGAAACTAACAATTACTGATAGCAAAAAACGTAAAACAAATTCGAATATTAAATTCTATATTTTACACGTGTAGGCATCATTAAATACATAATTTACGCATGTTGTACTTATAATTAATTATTAGATTCTAGACATTAAAAAAAACTGGTAACTGGAAAGCTCTTAAAAATATTAGTATCTCAAGTTATAAAAGGGTATTTGGAAGTTTATATTATAATATAAACTACTATAATGTAACCCGTGTTTTGGGATTGAATTAACAAATCACATGGCATAGCATTTCTTTCATTACGTGAGACTTCAGTTTGCAGTGTTACCACAGAAATAAAGTTATGAATATAATTTAAAATATCGATGTTGAAAGGTTTATTTAGAATTGCTTTACGCCATCAGACCCAGAAAGCATTAACAATAACAAGTTTGGTAATCAAACTGGGCTACTCTATTTTAGGCTAGATTATATCAAGGTACATAAATTATTCGATTCATGTCATAACTATATTCGAAATAAACAGCTACAGTCTACGTATCGCTTATAAATTCGGTTAATGGTTTGTGAATTATGGATTTAAAAAAAAGGCAGGGGCATTTTTATTGTGAAACTATTCATTTTTGTTCACCATGAAAACTATAGTGATTTATGCTATTTAAGGGATTGTTACCATGTAGGTACCTTGTTTTTAGCGAGTTTCCGATATTTCGGCACTATTGCCAGCGCCATGATCATGGGGTAACATAAATTACTATAAAGTTAGTGTTGAAATTTCAAAACAATATACCATAAAACTTTATGGAAATGAAAATAAAAGCATAAGATATTTATGACACTGCTTTATTTCATAGCAAAACCCTAAGTGAAAGCGATATAACAGTGAGACAAAATGAATACAAACCAAGTTTCCATTTGTAACTTTCCCGTATCAAATGCAGACTCATTAGTTTTAATCAACTCTGGACTTCTGTCATTGTTACTTTCGTAAACCTCCAAGAGTAATGTAATGAGTTCTAAAAATATTTCTACAGTCATATTTCATTAACGGGCTACATCGACAATAGTACGACCAAAAAATTATTAGGCACAAAATTGCTTTGCGAGTTTTGTAATAACACTTTTATAATGACAACATCAACACAGCAACCGAGGAATCCGAACATATTAATCACCCTTTCGCTATTAGTCTCACTGTCTGTTAGCTAGCTGTAATTTTCATAAAATGTGTATTATGGTGTATTGCTGCTTTAAAATGAAGGATAAAATAAAAAAAAAACGACGGGTTGCACTCCGGGAGTACCGGCAGAAGTGAAAACTTGAATATTAACGTTGTGCATTTTTGATATTTTGGAATGGTTAGGGAATAATTTTGCACGAATTGCTGTAATTATCAGTATAAAAGTACTATCATTTATGTGGTAGAATACAATATTTATTTATTGAATAGTACACAAACATGAAAATTTATATTACATTAATAATTTAAGCGTCACCTAGCGACATCTATTGTACAAAAATGCATTTTTTCGTAATAAAGATGTCACCTTTCGAACCTTTAGAATTTTATTGTTTTCGTCTTACGAACACGTGTCCTGAGTATAACATTTTTTACCCATTACAAAAAAGTTTATAACGCCGTTAAAGAAGTATTCACTTCAATAAAAAGTATTTACCTTTCTACGTCAAATCTCTACAATCGCTGTATTTTTAACTTGGTAGGTACTTTGTCACGGAATACTTAATGTGTTCTTAACCCGACTTGCAATTCACCACATTTGCGATCTGAACTCTCTTCCCTTGCCACATGGAGTTACTGGTACTGGAATCTTAATGAGAGTAGTAATAATAAACCGACGTTTCGCATGCAACCGGCAAACAGTAGCGTCCATATCTTTAGTTACGTTTTAAGGCTCTTGTGGCAACAATTGTAGTTCGTGTCAATAGACGTAGGAGTATTATTACTCAAAAGTATTGTTTTAGGTAGAGGACTCTCGTTTCAGAGTTTGTTTGCAAACGCGGTTGGGTTAGGTAGCCCCTAGCTTCTTCGAATTTACAAATATATAAAGACCCCTTAGTCCACACATTTCGTTATTGTTTCGAATTACCTATACAAACAAACCGTCTCATAAATCCTTAACTTTGCCTCAACTTTTATTCCAGCTTGTTTTGGCTTTGGACAATTTGGACTTGTGAATAAGTCAAGTAAATTTTGTTTTCGCTACAATTTATGATTGAAGTTCGAAATGTTTTGAGACGGTTTTATTAAAACTGCCATTATATAAGTAGTTTATCAAATTTCCCTCGTATGAAATATATCTTTTACAATCAGTACATCCAGCAACCAGCAATTTGACAGTGAGAACTACACATTTGTTTAACTTTGTATGACTAGCCTGTATTTATAAATGTAATTTGTCTTACTAAAATTTGAAAATATACGTTTTCGCTTAATTAACCACGGATATAATAAGTTTATAAATAATAAAGACAAATGCATGTAGTAACACCATATTTATTATATATACTACATACTTACGTGCATTCAAATAAAGCTGGATCTCAACAATACCTTACTTAAAAATTATTACAGATATTATTTATATTATTTATACATAGATTCTTTGGTCCATTATACAATACTAGAGGTGTCCTGCGGATTCATCCGCATTAATTGAATAAAAAAGGTTGCCCTGCTTAACGCAGCGCACGCACTTTAAAGGAAACAATTTCGTCATACATGAGTTTTGAAGTGATAACTTCTTATGGGAGGGTAAACCGCTTCGTTGCGTAACGCGTTACGGCGCCAGTCTATCTGGCTTCCCTACGGCAGCGGTAGGCAGGCTCCTCCTCTCTCACTCTAGCCCGCAGCCACTTAGGCCCGTATTATAGAATGATTCTCAGTGATTGATCTAGTCTTGAGCATAGTTAAAAAGGGATGTCGCTATATTATAGCACATAGCGGCATCCCTTTTCTAACTATACTCAAATAAAGATCAGCACTTAGTTGTCATTCTGAAATACGGGCCTTAGACTACAATAGTTTAATTTATCACTTTTTTGTATCTTTTACGGTTTACACAGCGCACGCAATGGAAGCTCACATGGACTTTTCCCCCTTTTTTGCAACATTTTTTATAGGTACTTTGCTTCTATTAGGCGTAGCGTTATGATAGATACCCTTGCCTTCCTATATACGCACTTTCTAACGCAAAAATAATTATTCAAATCGGACTAGTAGTTCCTGAGATTCCTGAGACAAACAAACTCTTCAGCTTTATAATATTATTATAGAGTATAGATAAAAAGTACCAATATGATGGGCCTATCGTTGTACATAAGAGCGTTGATCTCAGTATAAAAGTCAGAATTCCATTCAATGTGCGGTTTGTTTTTAGTACCTAATAATAGAGTTTTTGGGATTATCTACCTAAAGTTTCTTTACCCGCTTTTCACATAATATAATTGCTTTTAAGATGATTAATTTATACTATTGGACCTACAAAAACAGATCTTTTTAGGGTTCCGTAACTCAAAATGAAAAAATACGGAACTCGTATAGGATCACTTTGTTGCCCGTCATTCTGTCTATCTATCAAGACCCTTTATCTCGGGAATACGTAGAAATATCGGGTTGAAATTAATACCATACATTCAGGTCTACGATCTCTTAATGATTTGAAAAAAAAAAAAACAATTTTCTGAGTTAACGGTAAAAAAAGATAAGACCGTTTATCCGCTTATCTGTCAAGACCCTTTAGATCAGAAACGCGTGGAAGTATCGACTTGAAATTTAAACCATTTACTCAATAAATAAACAACCTAAGAAACAATTACCATTTACTCAAGTCTACGGTTCCATAAAGTTGTTAAAAAATCTAACTTTTAAGTTAACGTGAGAAAAAGATACCGTTTGAGTTGCGTTGCATGCCAACAAATTTGCACGGAACCCTCGGTGGGAGGTAGACGGTTATTTAGGTCCATGTTTATATGCCGTTATCATTACTTTTCAACAGATGAACAACGGCGCATATATGGGTCGCAGGGCACCGAAGAGTCGCCGCGGTACGTGAGCAGCCCACAGCGCCAAGCTTCGCCGTTTCCACACGAAAGCACCAACAGACGATTCTACAGGCGAAACAGGGACTCCAAAGGTAATTTGTACACGGTAATGACATGTTATAAACGTAATTACCAAACAGGTGCCCCGACAAAACGTAGAGAGCCACGACATGAGTATTATAACGTTACAATTTATAATAATCGGTTTTGAGGCTTTTTGTTTTGTTAATGTATGATGTAAGTGTACCTGCATGAACAGTGAGCAAACTGTTATGGTCTCTATTACTAAAATCTGAATGTAATATTTGCAACGGGTGGTCAATATTACAAAGATTATTTGAATAAACTGTGACTCGAACAGCGTTTTCGGAATTTTTAAATGTAATTTCTGATAGAACTGGCTATAGTTTTATATTGTGATTATATTATTATTATTAGCTAAAGTGCATATTGTATCCACTTCTATGCCCAAAATTAATAACAGAAATGAAGGAACAAGGAACGAAGTATGGATTCTCACTGATGATGCTCAATTTTCTGTAATGAATAAATATAAGCCAACGTGATTTGATATGAAAATCTCATTACAAGCTTACAAGGGCAATACTAATTTAATAGCGAAGATATTAACAGTATTTCTTAGATTGGCCCATAACTGGCATTGCGTGAAGATAATTAAGCTTCGGCTACTGAATTGATTAGATATCTCCATGGGGACGTCTCGTGTCAATACAGCTCCGATTTAGTTGGATAGTTAGTTAATTAAGTGCACACAATTGTAAGGCCCCTTTGCTAAAGATAGACATTGGATGTTTGTGTGCCGTAGTCGCCTCTATTGGGAGTTGAGAAGTGGCTCTTCATAAAGTATTAATGAACTTATTGATTCTTTCTTTTGTATAATTTATGTCCAGGACTGCGAATAGCTGTCGCACGTTACAGAAACTATTGTAAGCTATGCGCAGTCAACCTGTCATTAAAGTTTGAATCATTTAAATATTTATTGTGTTGCTTGAAAAATTATTTTCGGATTAATCACGCGGCATATTTTTGAATATACCTTGCCTTAAGTATTTTAATAAGTTTTTCATAAACATATCATTTCAACAACATCTTTTTTATTATTATAGTTATAAGCTGCATTTCCACCATGTACATTAATTTTTGTGAGTCCCCAATATTTCGGCACATTTGCAAGCACCATTATCTATGATAGGATAGTAACTGAAAATACTCCATGATCATGGTGCTTGCTAATATGGAGTGTGTGTGTGTGGTGGAGATCCTGCTTATAACTGTAATGTTAGTGACGATGAAACGTTGAAATCATCAGGGTGGCGTCTTATCTCCTCTTCTCTTCTCAATTTTTATAAATTCTATCACACAGTCACTTTTCAGTTCCTATCACCTTTATGCCGATGACCTCCAGATTTACACACAGGCACCACTATCTGACCTTTCAGGTGCAATAAATACTACCAATTCTGATCTCGCCTTAATTAGTAGTTGGAGTAAATCTTTCGGTCTTACTGTGAACCCCACTAAGACACAAACTATAATAATTGGCAGCTCTTACTTTGTTTCCAGGATTGATTTTGAACATCTATCTCCTATTATTTTTGATGGCACTATTATTCCATGGTCAAGCACTGTCAAAAATCTTGGTGTTGTCTTTGATCAATGTTTTTCCTGGAGACCTCAGGTGGAGGCGATCAGAAAGAAAATTTTTGCTGCATACAACTCGCTCAACCGATTACGTAACTTTTTGCCGACCACCACCAAAATCACTCTGGCGCAGACTCTTTTACTGACTATCATTGACTACGCTGATGCCTGTTATACAGATCTCACTGAAGAACTCTTAAATAAGCTAGAGCGTCTGCAGAACTTATGCATCCGATTTATTTTCAACCTTCGTAAATATGACCACATCTCATACTTCCGTTCTAAACTTAACTGGCTCCCTATTCGCCGGCGCAGGGACTTACACACTCTTACGCTCCTTTACTCCATACTTTTCTTACCCACTTCTCCTCATTACCTAAAAGCACGCTTCTCGTTTCTCTCTTCTACTTCACAGCGCACTTTGAATTCTTCTTCTAACCTATCTCTTGAAATTCCAAGTCATTCTACTGATTTCTTTTCCTATTCCTTCTCTGTGCATTCTGTACGTCTATGGAACTCTTTGCCAGAAACTATTCGAAGGGCTCGCACTCTGAACTCGTTCAGGGATCAAGTTCGCAGTTATTTCTTATCCCAACAGTGATGTAAAAAAATTCCTTCATCCTCTCTCTTTCCTTCCTTAGATATATCTGTTTTCCTGCCATTGATATTATTATTATTTTCTATAACACCCCTCCTTTTCTCCTTCATATTTATTTATCTTTCTATTATGGGTTGCCTGGAAGAGATTGCTGCCTAGCAATAAGGCCGCTCATATTGTGTACGTTCTATCTATCATGTTTTTTAATTTACTTGTGTTTTCTTGTATGGTGTATTACAATAAAGGATATTATTATTATTATTATTTCCTTTATTTCATTAAAATACATACAAAATTATATTTCTAAATATTAAATTTTTACAATGTATAACATTAAAAAAAATAACATTTAAAAATACAAAAATGCAGTTCCCCATCGGCAGCAAGATCAGGGTCCCTGCTACCGGCGGTTAAGGATCCATAGACAGGAACCTGCTCACTATACGGGCCGTGTCCAGAAGAACTGCCTTCTGCATCTGACTCTTGACCCAACCACCTAACGCGAGCCTCTTAAGGTGTTTATCGAGGCTCTTGGCTATCAAACCATGGGCAGATATGATTATCGGCACAACAATTGCTGAATCGATGTCCCACATGTCAAGCTTTTACAAGGTTGTCGTCATGTGGGACAGCGACATCAACAACTACTGCACGGCGTTCGTGTCGATCTATCAATACAATATCGGGCTTATTAGCCACAATAGTCCTGTCTGTAATGATAGATCGATCCCAATATAATGTGGCATGGCTATTTTCAAGGACCTGTTCTGGAGCATACCTGTAGTAAGGAACCTCGGATGCTAAAAGATTGTATTTCAAAGCAAGTTGTTGGTGTATTATCCTGGCCACTTGGTTATGTCTGTGCAAATATTCGCCATTTGCGAGACGAGAAAAACCGGAGATTATATGCCTAAGGGATTCACCAGGGCGATGGCACGCACGGCAAACATCCAATGTGCCATCCTTCAGTATAAACCTCCGGTAGTTCTTCGTCATCACAACCTCATCCATAATTGCACAGATAAAACCTTCAGTTTCACCAAAAAGGTCACCGAAACGTAGCCAGGATACTGATGCTGATAAATCTACGTCAGGCCCATGGAGAGCCCGGTAGAATCTGCCATGCAACTCCTTGCTTTGCCATACAATGCTGCGATCCAAAGTACTAAGTACTACAGGCCTGCGCCAGTTTTCTTTTGCTAAAAATAGAGGAGTGAGTCCATTGTCAACAGCAACTACATCTCTATGAATCCCCATATCGACGTTAAGAAAATACTCCCTTAGATTGTTTATCTCGCGGTTATGCAATGTCTTGGCATTTAGAAAGCCACGACCACCACACTTCCGCGGGATATACAATCTCATAGTCGAGGAGCGTGGGTGATGCATACGGTGTGCTGTTAACAATGTACGAACTGTTCTGTCCAAGGCATCAAGTTCAGTTTGAGTCCATTTAAGTATGCCAAAGGAATACATCAATAGCGGCATTACCCAGCCATTATATGCACGAACCTTGTTTCCGCCCGACAAAAGACTTTTAAGAACTTTTGACAGGCGCCCCAAGAAACGCTCACGTAATGACTGTTTCATGTCAGCATCGTTGATGCCTAATGCCTGTGACATACCTAAATATTTATAGGTTTCGTTTACGGAAAGAGATCTAAGGTGAACTGAATCCGAAAGTTGTATACCCGCGGATTCCACTACCTGACCACGCTTTACATGCATGATTGCACATTTGTCCACACCAAATTCCATTCTGATAGCATTACTGAAATCTTCAGTTACCTTCAGTAAGGCTGTCAAATGAGAACTGCTGTTGGCAAAAAGTTTCAGGTCATCCATGTAAAGCAGGTGTGATATTACTTGACCATTTCTCCGTAAACGATAGCCTAAACCTGAACCCTCGAGTAGTGTACTTAGAGACTCTATTTTTATAGGATCGCCGTTACCCAGAGTCCGTCGAGATTCTGGATAGAATAAGACCGTTCTCCACTGTCGCATACATGACATCAAGAAAGCGCGTAGAGTTGCATTTATTTTATACAGCTCCAGCACCCTCATGAGCCATGAATGCGGTACGGAATCATACGCTTTCTTGTAATCTATCCAGGAAGTCGACAGAGTCTTTCGGTTACGGCGGACCTGTTGATTAATAGCCATGTCAATGAGGAGTAGCTCTTTAGTACCACGGGCCCCATTCCTACATCCATTTTGAGAGGTGAACATGATAGAATTTTGATCAATATGTTTACAAATCTTAGATCTCAAAATAGATGTAAGAATTTTATAAATTGTTGGCAGACAGGTGATTGGTCTATAATTTTTTGGGTCCGTAGTACTACCAGATTTATGGAGCAGATGGGTTATGCCTGTTGTCACAAATTCTGGAAGCGACCGAGATGATAAAGCACGCTGGAATTGAGATGCTAAGCAAACGTGTGAGCTTGGTAACCATTTGAACCAGAAATTGTGCAGTCCGTCTGGGCCTGGCGATTTCCAGTTGGGTAACGAACGAACTGCACAAACTACGTCTTCGTAGTCAATGGTCACATCGTTCATTTCAGGTAAAAGCTCGCACGATCGCTCAACATCCCTCATCCACGCGCCATCAGAATGAGTGACAGGCACGGACCAGATGTTGAGCTAAAAAGAAATCATTGCCTCATCATCCGGTCGACACGTATCAATATCACTATGATTCGATTGCTCCCAGGATCGATAAACACAACGTTGATCTCTTTCGAACATGCGGTTCTGAGTAAAACGACTCACTCGCATCTTATACCTCCGAATGCGATTAGCCCATGCACAAATTTTCTGTTTCAGAAA